TTTTTTTTTTTTTTTTTTTTTTTTTTTTTTTTTTTTTTTGGTACTGGGGATCAAATTCAGGACCTTGCAATTTGGAGGCAGGCCATGGCACCACTGAGCTAAATCCCTCATCCTTTCTAACTGTTACATAATAACTTGCCATCATTGTTTGGGGCATCTGCATTAATTTTTATGTCGCTAGATGTACAAATGTTATTTCCTTGGTATACAAAAATTGTTTACCATTGCATTGTTGCCTGGGGCTGCCATAACAAAATGTCACAGACTGAGAGGCTTAAAAACAGACATATCCCACTCATAGTTCTAGAGGCTGGAAGCCCAAAATCAAGGTGTTAGGGTTGGTCTTCTCTGAGGTTCCTCTCCTTGGGCTTGCAGATGGCTCCCTCCTACTGTGTGGTTACATGCTTGCCCCTTGTGTGTGTCCTGATCTCTTTTTCTTACAAGGATGCCAGTCACACTGGAATTGGGCCCACCCTAGTGACCCTATTTTAACTTAATTGCCTTCTGAAGTTCCTGTCTGCAAAACTCACATTCTAAAGAGCTTCAACATGAATTTTGGAAGGACACAATTCAGCACATGACTCATCTGGAATATGATTTTTTTTAGTAAAGTTTCTTAGATTCTTTAAAATTTTTTCTAAGATTCTCATTTTGAGTTTCTGAGTTTTCCCCACGAACTGAGGTGAAAGCAGTTTTTAAACTTTTTGTTTTATGTGAAGATTATTAATAGTTTCAAATATGTCAGGTCCTTGTACCCTGTGTTCTTGGACATGGGAACACCCTATCTTTTGGGGTACTCTCTGGAGTCTACTTTCAGGAGGGGTTAGAGCTGCCAATGTCCAATAACTAGTCCATTATACTACAAAATTAATCTGACATTTAGGACAGATAACAGAATGACTCAAGAGTCTGGAAACAGACCTTAAGCCATTAAAAAAAAAAAAAGGCTTAGGATTTTAATCCAAAGAACAAAATAACTCTATTTTATACAATTCCATAGAGAATGCACTGAAATTGTTGCATGTACTGAAGTCCCTTATTGAGGTCTGATTAATCAGAATAGCATTTCCTGGGCTTAGAACATCATTTAGTGTGACAAAGACTGAGGTGTTAGATTTTAGTGTTTTTTGGTTACTGTTACAAAGCTTGTGCCTGCCATTGCTTTTGTCTCCAGTAATTCAGCAAGATTGGAAAGACAACAACATAGGATCTCTGTGCAAGATGGCACACTTCCTAGTCACTCAATTTGGTTCTGTCTTGTTTTGTTTCAGGCTCACCCAACACAACTCTCCAAGTTCATGTTCTGTGTCTTACCCTGGGCTACTTCATCTTTGACTTGGGTTGGTGCATCTACTTCCGGTCTGAGGGTCCCTTGATGTTGGCTCACCACACACTGAGCATCTTGGGCATCATCATGGCCCTAGCGCTTGGGGAGTCAGGCACGGAGGTCAATGCAGTCCTCTTTGGAAGTGAGATCACCAACCCCTTGCTGCAGATGCGCTGGTTTCTCCGTGAAACAGGGCACTATCACAGTTTCGCTGGAGATGTGGTGGACTTCCTCTTTGTGGCTCTGTTCACTGGAGTGAGGATTGGTATAGGAGCTCGCCTCCTTTTCTGTGAAATGGTCTCACCCACCCCCAAGTGGTTTGTGAAGGTCGGAGGAGTAGTGATGTATGCTGTGTCTTGGTGTTTCATGTTTAGCATCTGGCGCTTTGCTTGGAAGAAAAGCATCAAGAAGTACCATGCCTGGAGAAGCAGACGAAGTGAGGAACGGCAGCTGAAGCATAATGGACATCTCAAGATACACTAGCCAAGGCTTGCTGCAGGTAGCAGAACCAGTGAAGACAGCTATAGGAACTGGGTCGGAAATAAGACTGTTAACAGAATCATGTTTAGAAAAAACTTAGATTTCCAGAAAGGGCTAAAATTATTGGTCACTTTGGTTAGTCTTCAATCCAAGCATACAGTATTAAAACACTAGATTCCATAGTGACAGTTATTGAAAGTGAGAATTGTCAATGGTGGGTGGGAGAGGTCAGAGTTGTGAGGTGAGAACAGCTGGCATTCCTTTTTGTGTGTGATAACCCTAGGTCCTCTTGTCCTAGGAAGATTTGATATGCAGACAGCTTTGAAAGGAAACGATAAGTGCTGTTTCTTGTTCCTTTGAGAAGTAACTCCTTCAATATATACTTATTCTTGCTTTCCATGTAGCAATTGGTGCAACTTTACTGCATGATCTGTTAAGTGAGGGAGTTTGTGGAAGAACATGCCTTTGACATTCTGAGCATTGCATCAGGAAGTTGGATCTGCTTTAGAAAAAAAAATGTTTAATATCTACTGTGTCACAGGTCCCTGAGACCACCCCCCCCCCGGTTCCATGGTTCTCTAGGAACATTTACAGAACACAGCATATAGGCTTACAGTTTTGATTTACGATAGTGAAAAACACAAAGGAAAATCAGCAAAGGGAAAAAGTACTGGGGTCAAGGTACCATTGAAACCAAGCACAAGCTTCTAGAGTCCTCTCTCATTTGGATCCCACAAGATGTGCTTCATTTCTTTATCAGTGACTTCTGACAATGGGTAAAAGTTTGCCTACCAGGGAAAGTCATTAAGGACTTGATATCCAAGGTCTGTGTTGGGGACAGGTTATACTGGCAGACTCTGCCTGGCACATAGCAAAATTCAAGCTCCCAGCAGGAAATCAGGCACTCAGTTTAAGCCGTATTGTTTGACCAGACAGTTTAGGTGCAGTTGCCAGTTGTATCATTTAATGCTGGGAGTCCTTCCCACCCTTCAGAAATCTAAGTTCTCAGATGCCGGCCATTGGCCAGCCTTGCAAGCAGTCCTTTCCAAGGATAGCAGTTAAGGTCTGCTGCATTAACTCTTCTGCACAAAAATCATACAGCTAGGGCTTTGGGTGCAGGATGAATGAAGTGTGGGTAGACTTACCAAGTACTGTTGTACGGGTTCTGCCCTACCAGGAAAACTATGCCAGTTCTCAGGGCTTTTGTTCATTAATCTTCTAGGCATGAGAGGCTATGACTAAATTCCATAGGGATTTACCATGTGGATTCCACTGTGCTTGAGATGGGAGTTCAGGTTACAGCTTGGCTGTACATATTGCAAACTAGAACCAAAGACTTTAGTATGGTACTGGTCTCAGGGTGATAGGGCTAATTTTTTAAAATTCTTTTTTAAAAATTTCAGATATATCCCCTTTCAGTACTCTTACTACTTTTTAATCCTTTCTGTAAAACAGGTGCATATCCTTAAAGACAAACTACTATGACAAGGCCAGTCTTGGAAGAAAAAAAAATTTATTTGTGTGATGGTCTCTAATCTCACATAGAAGCAAGAATACAGGCTTAGAATACAGGTTAGGAGTTAAGAATTCCTGGATTTTTTAAATTAATTTTGCTGTTCAGTTGCCAGATCATTTGGTCAGTTTACTTATTTAATGTCTTCTAAACCTGTTGTGAATGAATGAAATATTCTGTTGTGTGTTTCATAGAGATATGGGAAATTCTGTTAATGAATGTCTCTAATGCTTTTATGAAAAAATGAAGTTTTGCTTATTTATTCATTATTTATTTTTACCATGTTATTTAGAACAGTGGTGATTGGTTAGCTCAGTTGGTAAGCAAGTAAATGGTGCTATTGAATCAAGACCAATGATTAGCAGCAAATGCCATTTCACTGGTCACTGGTGATACTAATCTAATGAGTGACCTTGAAAATGGATGTCAGTGGCTACAGAAACAAGGCACGAGAGAGTGGCTGGAACCACATAGTCATTACTGCACAAGGAAAAGCAACTTGAAAGTTACATTAACAGTGATCATTTTAAGACGCCTATCATTTAAACAATTTTGGTGGGCATTTAAATAATTCAGTAGATATAGCATCTCCACCTCTATTTCTATGATTAGTGTCCCTAAAATGCTGGTGAGCTTCTTTCAGGCAAAATTGTGGGCAAAATAGGATGCTAGGAAATGCTGATTTCAGCAAAAGCCTAATAGAAAAGAGTGGCTTGGCACATGAACTTAAGGAAAAAA